AAGAGGAGGAGGAGGAGGAGGAGAAAGGAGGAGGAACTCCGAACTTCGGCTGACACGTGGCACGTGGCACTTCGACTGATAAAGAAAACTAACGAGTAGGAGGAGGAGGAGGAGGAGAAAGGAGGAGGAGAGAAGAAGACGAAGGGAGGAGGAGGAGGAGGAGGAGGAGGAGAAGGATCTGCCGGTTTCTTGATACGTCGATGAAAAAAAAAGAAAAAGAAAAGGATGACGAAGGAGGAGGAGGAGGAGGAGGAGGAGGAGAGAGAGGGAGAGAGAGAGAGAGAGAGAGAGAGAGAGAGAGAGAGAGAGAGAGAGAGAGAGAGAGAGAGAGAGAGAGAGAGAGAGAGCTGACACGTGGCACTTTGCGCAATGGTACCGTATCGACGAAGAGCTGACACGTGGCACTTTGCGCAACGGTACCGTATCGACGACGACGGGCAGCGTCGGCGGCAGTGACGACGGGCACCTCGGGCAGCGACGGGCGTCGACGGCGGGACAACCTCGAGGAAGGCGGGCAGCGACGGGCGTCGACGGGGCGGGCAGCAACGGGCGTCGACGGGGCGGGCGGCAACGGGCGTCGATGGCGGGAGTACTACGTTGGCGCGGCTGCACTTCGACCACACTACACTGGGCAGCGGCGGGAGCAACTCGATGCTTCGAATTCGAAGCTGGCGCGCGCCGAAAAATTTTGCGCGGGGGGGCGGGGAGGCTCCCAAGGCCCAGAAATGTCGAAACAGGCCTCCCCCCCCCCCCGCGCAAAAGTGCGCTGGGCCCTCCCGGCATCGAACCGGGGGACCCAACCGGCCAGGCCGCCCGGGACCCCTGCCGGTCGGAGGCTGGGCCGCCGGGCGGCCCGGAATTTAACACAGCCTATTTCAAAAAAAAACTTTAAAAAAAGGGAAAAACTTCCGAAAAAGCGAGAAGGTGATTTTGGTCTTCACCTCCTTGCAGGAGGCTCTGTCAATTGAATAAGTGTCTCCAATTGAGAAAAAAGAAATGTTAAAGAGTGGGTCATTCTTCAAATTTTTCTGACGTGCCGGTGGAATAGGAACCGGACTGATGCTCCGCAGAATGGAGGTCCATAAAGGATACAATGAACTGCACAGAATCAGTCTGAGATTTCTTCTGCTGTCTGAGTATTGCTGCTTGCTGGACTGATTTTTCGGGATTTCCGTGTGCTCTGTGTGTTTGCATGTGTTCAAGTTCCCGTGAGATGAACGCTATGCAGAATACTAGCCGTGCGCTTACCCTTTGTTGTCTGTGTCCCAAGAGGGGTAGGTAGGTTAGGCATAAGGAAACCAGGGGGGCAAGACTGAAATTGGGACTGGATGGACTGCAGGTAGAGGCTAGGACGAACAGGGACCAAGTAGAGGGAGGTTAGTACTCGGCAAACATTTTCCAGTAGGCAGGGCAGACCCAACAAAGGTCCGGTAGGCCCAGTAGTTTTGCAAAAGGTGACGAGTAGTCAGTCCCGAATCCAGACGTCCATTAGGGTAGATTCAGGCCTAGAGGTAGGCTTGCAAGCTGCAATGATGTTCGTGCCAACGAGCAGGAACCCCCCCCCAGTAGGTCTAGCACTCTGGAAAGTTGACCAGTACCTCAGCCTAAGTTTAAACCGTGAGGTATATCGTTCGGGCTGAATGAGTGGGGACCGGTAGTTTACCCGGCAGTCGTGCTACTGCTCTGCCCGGAGGGGGAGGTTGGGCGGAGTGGCGGAGGAGCGGTGGAGCTGGAGGGCAAGGAAGAAGACCTCCCTGGCTATGGAGGAGACGTAGGAATAGGGTGTAGTCCTCGCTATGGTGGTAGAGGGTGAAGTGCCCCATGCGAGAGGAAGGAGAAGGCGGATAGAAGGGAGTAGGAGGTGAGGAAAAGGGAGAAGGAGAGGAACCGACATAGAGAGACTCACCTTGGCTATGGTTGACCTTCATCTTTACGTCCTTCGTTTGCGCTGCATTGAGAAGGCCCCTCTATGGGTCCTGGTTGGCCGTGGACAGCTTCCTTAGAGGGTGACTATGGTGGAAGAAGAGGGGACTACCATAATTGTATTTGCGTCGTCCTTTGAACATCATCCGTGATGAGCACGGATGTTCTGACATAGCCCTGGATGCCACGCAGACGAGAGAAGTGAGGTTAGGGCTGAAAGGTGGTCTCTTGAGTTACCAGCAGTAAGGGGGAACACTCAGACATGATTCCTGTTCAGTCATTCGTTTGTTGTTCTATTCTATTTAATTTAATTGATTAATAAGAGTAGTAGTCAAGACAATGACGACTACGACGACGACGACAACGATAACGAAGAAGAAGAAGAAGAAGAAGAAGAAGAAGAAGAAGAAGAAGAAGAAGAAGAGGAATGAGGAAGAATGAGGGGGAAAACATTGGCGTAACTTGTTCATCTTCTTTGATTCTTTAAATTCTAATCTAATCTTTCTCTCTCTCCATCTCTTCTTTTGGAATGCAGAAACTCTTTCATTTTCTCGCAATTTGAGTTTTGCACTCTGGGCGGAGCAGCAGTGAGGTTGGAACTTGGAAGTGCATGACTTTCCTTGAATTTTCTCAGCCGAAGCCGGGTAATGGCCCCGCGGCGGGAGCTTAAATTGTTCTTTGTAACTTGCATAAGGGACGCTGACCCCAGTTCCCAGCACGTGTTGCTCCCCACGAATAGATTGGAGCATGGTGCAGAGATGAGCAATGGGTACCCAGACCCACACCCACCCGCACCCACCCCACCCACGAAGCATTGGGTCAGGTGTGGGTCTTGATAAGTTGGCATGGGTGGGATGAAGGTGGGTCTAGGCGAGTAAGCCTGGGTGGGTGACGGGCGGATCAATTATAGGTCAGGGTCACCCGAATGGGTGGGTGACAAGCGGGTGAGCGCTAGGCCTGGGTCACCCAACCCACAGACCCAGGATAACCCATAAGAACCCGTCCCCCCACCCCCCACCCCCCCCTTATACATATTTCCCAGCTGCGGTCCATCTGTGGACTTCAAAGGTTGGAGGCCCAGGAAACGGAAAGTCTCCACCCTGGGGCCCCTGGGAAAAGAAGTTGTGGTCCTAAAAAAAAAAGACCCGCGCCAGTAGCAAATCAAAATTTGGGGTCCTCCTTGAAAAAATGTGTCACGCTCTACTGGTGGCAGCTGGACCATGGCCCAAACAGCGGGATGTTCGCTCCCATTAAAACAACAGGGATCGAACCTAACCACATCAAGTGGCAAGCCTTAGGTTCACTAGCCAATTTCAAACTTTTGGAGCGATTTGAATTTCTGCATGCAGAGATGCTTCAAAGTTTTGGGCCGTCATCCAAGGATGTCATGTTGCTATGGTGCATGCGAATGTTCGAAGGGACTGAGACAATGGGGAATGAGCGGGTGCGGGTGGGTAATTTTGTTCTTGCGGGTGTGGGTGGGTCAGGGTGAAGGTTTTTTACGGGTGACGGGCGGGTTGGGTGTGGAGGGAAATTTTCGAAAAAACACGCGGGTGGGTTGGGTCACCTTGAGATTTTTTGTTTTTGTTTCTTTGAGGGTGGGCTGCGCTTAAAAAATTATGGCCGGGTTGGGTGAAGTGCCAATTCAAAAAAAACAAAACTCATCTCTGGCATGGTGCTCTCCCCCATCCCCCCCCCCCCCCCCCCCCCCCCCCCCCAGAAAGGGGTCATAACAAAGGCCTGTTTTAGTGAAGTAAAAAAAACAGGGAAAGAAGAACAACTGAAATTGTTGCTATTTGTAAGGAAACCAGTGCTGTAACTCCATGCCGTCGTTTATTTAGTCTTTTTTTTTAAATAACAAAAGCAGGACCTTGCTGTCCCGGCTTCGTTTATTTTAGTCTTGTTTTTCTGTGCTTCTTTTTCCTTTGCAGTCAAACAAAGTTGCGCGAGATCCCGTCCGAAATCTGTCAGCTTCGGCAGCTTCGGTTTCTAGACCTCAGCGAAAACTCAATCATTGCTGTCCCTGAGGTGAGTTGATTCGGTGAGTTCCCATCAGTTCATCTATATCAACTTCGACGTTTTTTAACACATCCCTGTGTGCTGCATATTTTCTTTGTATTTTGTTACCTTTTGGACCCCTGAATAACACAGATAAGTTGAGATAACAACATTGGTTGCTCCCCTTGTGAAAGAGGGACTGACAAGGATTGATTGTCAGCTAAGCCTTGTTTGTTCCTTCTGAATTTCCTCTCAGCCCATGGCCTGCATTTATTGGCAAGAAAACTTAAATAACTAATAATAACTTATTAATAAGTTATAATAACTTAATAAGCTGAAATCTTATTGTTTTTTTTTCCAGGAATAGACACTCCACTTAACCCCAGTAAAGTTTCATGGAACGTAATCAGAAGCTCAAATCTCCCACCCTCACACCCATGGCCTCATGTTGCTCCGTCTGTTATGAGTCCTCCTAGGTCTCTTTGAGATTAGAGTTGTGCCAGCTACTCCATGTAAGATGGTTATCGCCGATGGTTATCTTCAGAAAGATGGGTATCAGCATGGAAAGATGTATTGATGTACCAAATTGGCTAATACTAGCAGGTTGATGCGTGCATTGATGCTCACCAGCCATTCTTTCATTAAGCACTCACCCAAAAGAGTCAAAGCAACCGCCACAACAACACACTCTCTCTCTCTCTCTCTCTCTCTCTCTCTCTCTCTCTCTCTCTCTCTCTCTCTCTCTCTCTCTCTCTCTCTCCTGTCTCTTATACACATCTAGATGTGTATAAGAGACAGCTCTCTCTCTCTCTCTCTCTCTCTCTCTCGCGCGCGCGCGCGCGCGCGCGCGCACGGGGTCGGTCGGTCGGTCGGTTGGGTTTCGCTCTGTTGGTGTCGTTGTTGTTGGTGCCGTTGTTGCATTGTTGTTTCCTTGTCGTCATCGTCGTCGTTGTTGTCGTTGTTGTTGTTGTTGTTGTTGTTGTTGTTGTTGTTGTTGTTGTTGTTGTTGTTGTTGTTGTTATTGTTGTTGTCTGATACTGTAAGTGTTCAAACTTTGAACTCGTGATCTGTTTCCCAACAGTTACGTGCCTATACAAGTCAGCCACATGGTCTGGGTAATTTGTGGTTGAAATCTTATCGTGCTTTACTTTGTGTTTTGTCTGTCATTGAGAACAGGAACTCTCGGTACTCACTTCAATGGAGGAAATTGATCTCTCATGTAACGATGTTACATCGCTGCCCCCAAAGCTGGTAAGGACTTCTAAAATGTACCTCCAAATCACTGTCCAGTGCTTGAATCCACACTGCAAGGGCACAACATGAAAGCGAACGATGGTGAAATTTGCATTCCCCTCGTCGCTCTCTCAAATTAGGCAATCCCAATGAATGATTTAACCCTTCATTTATTATTTATCACTCAGGCATCTGGGATCTTCTTACTTCAGGGATTTCATTGTCTGAACTTTGAGGCTTGAGGTTTCAACCTTCAACTTCTTCTTTTTTTTTTCTCTCTATGGGCTTCGCTCCATATGCATTCTGGGAAGCATCAGTCTGGTTCCTTTTTTTTTGTCAAAATCACAGATTGCCAGGATTTGAACTCATGATCTGTTCACTAACAATTACACGTGGGTACCATTTAGCCACCAGGGCTAGGTAGCATGTCTTTTTTTCTTCTTCTTTTTTTTCAGTTGTGGACCATTTCTTAATTTATGTGTGTCATCCGTGCACAGGGGCTGTGCTAATCCTCTGTATCGTTCCAATTTCAACGGGGGGGGATGCCTTGCCTTCTCTACGGGCAAGTCACAAATGTTTTCCAATGTGCACCCGCTCATGCTTCCCTTCCATATGGCCAAAGGACCCCAAAACAGCATTGATTGCTCCAGATGCCTGGAGGATTAACTGTCAGCTGACTCAGCTTGCCATTCCTTTTCTCATCTGTCTGAGACCCTTGCCTGAGTCTGTCCAAATCATCTTGATCATCTAGAATGATGCACCTAGAATGAGGTAAGGAATAACCGCCGGTTCTCATGTCCATATATTGCTTCCTGGGCTTCTTGTTGAAGGCTGGGCTGTTTTGTTTTCAATTTGTGATTCAGTGTTGTGCCAATCTTCCGATTCGTCCCATTCTATGCGAAGTCCTCGAAACGTCGCTACCTTGCCTTTCGCTAACCAGGTGAACTGAAACTTCCCTTTCTGTCGCTTTTCTGATTCGAGGTTGCGCTCAATGAGTAATCTGATCTTCCGCCGCTTACATACGATCTGTGTGTCGATGAGATTCTTGGTTGCTGGACGTGCCTTCTTCCTGACGTTCCTTGTTTTGTACCAGGCAGCGAAGCTGACAAGCGGGAAAAGGGATTTGAATTTTGAAGTGTGAACCCTCAACCTTAGCCTTTGCAAGGCTATACTTTACCATTAACTTTTTGAAAAAGCCAGTTCCACCAATCAATCCACTTTATTCCGTGGTGCGCCGTGAGTGAGAGGCCAAAGTCGATTTGAATTTTGAACGACTGACTTTACACTTATCACTGTTATCAGGCGTATACTCTAACCAACTGAGTCTGATGCTGCAGCACTCTTTCCAGATTGCCCTTCTATCTAAGTCACCTTGCGAAACAAGCCGTAGCAAACTCACATTCTGTTTTGCTAAAAAAAGAACGGAAGAAAGAAGAAAGAAGGGATGTCCACAAGCGGATGCTGGTTTGTAACATAGATAGAAAAGCAGTAGGAGGAGGGGAGGGCGAGGGGGATGAGGGTAGATGTACCATTATAGGAAAGTAGGGATGGATAGGTAGAATGATAGGAGGAAGTTGGAAGTAGTGGAGGGAAAGGGGGGGGAGGGCGGACTGAGTCCAACAAAGGAAAAAAGGAGAAAATCTTCAAAATAATAAAATATGGAAATCAGAAATCTTGGAAACTTCGGAATTTTGGAGATGGTGGAACTGTGAAAACCTAGGGCAAGTTGGCAAGGAGGAAAAGTTGGAGAAGTTGATAACCGACCGCCTTCACCCGAATAAAATGCCTGGTGATTATCGCTGTATGTAGACTGAAAATTGCACCAAATACGGCTATAATGACCGGGCGTTCTCTTCGGGTGAAGACGGTAGCAGTCTCTCAGGGAAAACCTGCAGAGAAGGGCAGGTAATCGCAAGAGGAGCAAGAGGAGGGCAGACGTAAAGTGGGAGCATAGAGATATGATAGAGGCAGAAGTTAAGGGGGATGCAGGGTGGAATTTAAATGGCCACGATGTTTTGGGGTTGGGGGGGGGGGGGGGGGAGGGAGAAGGGGGGTAAGTTGAAGGGCTCTGTAGGAGAAGAATGGGTATAGCAAGAGGTGGGTATTCATAGTAACGGAGGGGGTTTGTTTCAGATGTAGCAGGTAGAAAGAAGATTGGAGATGAGCGACCTGAGAGACAGCTAGGAAGGGGGCGCCCCCGCACTGGCCTCCCGGGAGACCCTTCTGCTGCGTGACTGGGTGCAGCTAGGAAGCTTCCCGGCCAGCAGAAGTATCCACGGGGAGGTCGTGGTTTCGGGGGTGGGATGGTCCGTAGCAGCAAAACCCCTTTGACAGGCGACTAGAACCATAAGCGGCCCTTAATCGGCGTAAGGGTAAGGCTGACCCCCTCTACTACATCTTTTGTCTTGCTGGAACTCATGCTTGCCGGTGATAAGCAACTGGACTGACGCCCCC